TTTCATCAAGCTTGATTCAAAGTTCCTGATATGAATCTGATCTGTTTCCTCCCATTTTTAAACATACATAGTAGTTTTATGTGTGTACTATTTTTGATTAGGTCAATGTGTGGTTTTTCTTGCCTTTATTTTTTTCCCTTCTCCTCTCATAGTTAGTTCCTGTTGTTAATTTGTTTATTTTGAAATTTTGCTATTAAGGCATGGCCTACCTTGATAAGCCTCAACTAGTTGTGGGCATGCCAATCTTGAAATTAATAAAGTGTAATGTGTCCACAGTCTAAGTAGTAGTATTCATTTCACATCATATTTGACTAAAATATATCAACAGTTAAATTTTTGTCACCTGATTAGAAATATGCTGAGTTCCATGAATCATGGTAGTTAGAAAGCCATTGAGTGCTTCAAAGCCAAAGCAAGAGTACACCCAAAGTGGACCAAACAACTTAACAAAGTATGTCAGATGTCTGAGAAGATGGAAATTATGAGTCTGGCTGCTTTCTCCTGCAGGAAAAAAAAATATATGCTGTATAATTTAAACAAGCTTCAAGGAAGGCATTTTGTAAGCACTGTTTTATGTTGTTTGGTGCCACTACATTAGGCCTCACCCTGTCTTGGTCACATGACTTACCAAATAAGGTTGTGACCTGACAATTCTGAAAACCTTTACGATATAAAAAGTTAATGTTTCCAAGATATGAGGGTTGTGAACTTTCCATAGCAACAATATGTTAGCTAGGTTAGTACCCCTTAAACAACTACAGCAAAATACATTATACGTGTATAAAGGCTTGCAGTTAAAATGAATCACAGAAATGATAAGAAATTTTCAAAAACTATCACAGGAACAGACAAATATAAATAACTTATTTAAAAAAGTAAAAATCTATTTACCATAAAGTTCTGGCAACAATTTACAAAAATTGTCCAAAAGCTCCTCAGCCAGCTTGAGCTGTTCAGGGGTTATTCTGTCACTTACAAGGATGGCTATAGCTGTCACTAACAAAGTGTAGTGGAGGAAGTAATAATCTGGAAGAACACCTTTCAGCACTGGTACAGAATAGTGAAGAAGCCAATTTCTATACTCTGTAGCTGACGAAATGAAAATTTAATAAGTCAACACCAATAATTAGTATTGTACTGGCCCTTATTTAGAATGAGACAGTTAATATTTTTCAGTTACTACCCACCCCATCCTAAAAATTAACCTTTTGCAGTCCCACTACCACATTAATCTAAAGCCAGGTGGCCCTCACAATTTGAACCAATAGTTTACAAGAAAGCAATTAAGAAATTTGAAATATTCTTATGGTAACAAAATATTAACCTTTCCAAGTTCCACGATCTGCAAGACTTCTTGGACAACGGGTGATTATGTCAGGAACTTTTATAGACAACAATCTTTTATTCAACAGCGCAATCTATAACAGTAAGAATGCCAAAAGAGTGTGACTGCAAATTAATCCAGGTTGACTACTTATGTCAAATTTCTTGAACACTGCTGTGATTATATTTACAAAAATAATGACTTTTATTGGAAAATCAGAAGAGATATCAATTGAGATGATGATTTTTCTCAGAAATTAAAGATATAATGTTAAAAGTTTATTTAATGTTACCCTTGATCCTAGGAAGAATTCTTTTCCACGGTTCTCTGCATTTAGCCACAAATGTATCATAGATTTTGTAACTCCAAGGCATACAGAGTGCATCCAGTCAATAACAAAACCCTTCACAAGGTCAAATGGTTTAAAAAGTAAAAACACAGAAGCACCCTTTATTCCATTGACCTGCCAAAGTTAGAAAAGTCAAGTCAGTGCTAAAATAACATTTAATGTCTTGTTTTGCAGGTCTCTGTGCATAAATCATCTAGATCATAGATACATGTGGGAAGGGGCCATAATGTTATACATTACGTGAGCAGACCTTTGTGGAAAACATTTTCTGTCAAAAATTCAAAGATTATTAATCTTCCAAATATTGAGCAAGTTATGGCATTATGTGCCAATTGGAACTCTTATGGGCAAAAGGGTTAAAACCTTTACACAATATCATTTAACATCCACTATGGACATACCGGTTTTCCAGTCTTGACAACTTTGCGGATGGATGCAACCACAGACTTGTGTGTCCTTAGTACCATATCAGAGGTATAGGGCCAAATTCTGTGCAACCCACCAACTCCTACTGTCTCCCCTTTATCTTCACACACTGAGCAGCCCTTCTCCCCATTGAACTGTTTCATGTTGGCCATAAGAGACTTTGCTGGAAGATCAGCAGATGACAACAGAAGGGTTGCCTTTATGACCTTTTGTTGCCCAGTAGGTGTCACAACCGTGAGGCCTAACAAGCAAATTGGTTAACTTATTTAGACCATAGTAGTGAAATTATCGAAATAATTCATTTCATTAAAATTTCTTTCTCTAATTGCGTGCAAATTTGGAAAACTGGAGGTTTACTGCATGGTCTAAATTTTTTAACATGTTACTTCCTAAAATCAGCTGCTTCAGCCCTGCTTTTTGAATGCTGGTGTACTATTAAGTTGTATATTGTCCAGTTATAGTGTAAAGCCTTTCTTGAAACAACCCTAAAAGTTTGTATCAGTGGGGTTAAAAGGTGTGGCATCTAATGTGGGGTGCTTTGCTTCTTTTGGTAAGAGCAACAAAGCATCTTAAGGATGTTTGCACCCATAATGTTCACATCTACAAATTTCTTTAAAACTTTGGCTGCAGTTAGACAATGATCAGTTTAAGTCAAAAAGGTGAAAAAAAAAAAACTGGGGGGTTATGGAGTTTGTTTGGAAATAGTGTATCACAGACCATGGTATTTCTAAGAACAGTGGTTATTTAGGGCAGTTTTGGATTCAGTACAACACCAAAAAATTCTGTATAATGGTGAATTCAATCTATGGTATGTGCATTTATTATTAGAATCTAACTGTATACATACCACTGCGGTAAAGGCCACTGATGCTTTCAATTATTGGCCGACAGAATGTTTGCATGTTTGGCTTTTTCTTGGAACACCAGAGACCAGCAAGGAACATATACCTTCTAGAACACCTACATTGAAAAAATTAAAATCAGACAGATTGCACATGGGCATGCATATTAAAGCTATTTTCAGTTTTACATGCACATGGTTTAAATAACTTCTGCTACATGGTAAACTAATTAAGAGGAAAGTCTCAACTTATAACTTATGAGGGAATGTCAATGTGTACAATAAGGATTCAAACTGTAAGGTTATTCAACTGAAAGTTTATTCAAACTGAAGTTTACTAATTGCGGCATAATGATTTTCTAGAATTGTTACCTCAGTCTAGGAGGAAGTTCATTGATAACCAGGAAAATAGGCCAGAAATTTTGTTTATTAGATGACTTGTAGGGTGCAACACCATCTGTATTGAACGAGAATGAGATGTTCAGAGGGTTGTCTTGGCTAAGAATGCCACCAGGCTGCATGAGTTTGCGGTACTCTTGTCCACTGAATATGTCACATATGTCATCATCATCAAGGAAACCATTATCAAATCGATATCCCAACAATCTAACAAACTCTGCATCTGTTTAATAAGAAAAGCAGGTTTCCTTTTAACAAATATTAATTAGTTAATGCGCAT